TGAAGGAGTAGTAGGAATGCTAATGGTTGGACGATATGAGAGACCCGGTGAAGAGCAAACTAGAGCAAACTAGAGTTGTATCCATTGGGTGCGTGATGGGAAACCCGTCTAGGCAACAAAGGAGCTTTACAGCGTTTTGGACAGTGATGATGAGAGGGTAACCCTACCGCTTATTCTTCTTGCCCAGCTCCTGGTCATTGAGCCTATAGGTAGTTTTAGTTTTTTAAAGGCTTAGCCGTTTACTTGGATCCTGGCGGTATGTAACACTGCCGATTTAGGCAACTGAGCACGGTTCGATAGTATTTTAATATCGACGAGTGACACTGCAATGATCTGCTAGTTGCCACAGACTGAACCTTAGCACCAAGTAGGATGGTGCCTTGTTTCTCCACGAAATTACTTTGAGTTTCAAGGGATTTTGGAAGATGAGGATAGACCTGTGAAAGGAAGGGACACTGGACCCGTTTTCCAGCAACAGCCCATTTAGGGTTATTGGTCATATCTTCCGGGTTGTTTGTAAGGAATTCCCGGGCTCCTTTCATTTGTAATAAAAGCTAATGATTCTTCCAAAAAAAAAAAAAAAAAAAAAAAACCTGTATCTTGACCCATAGTGCAATTAATTAAATTAAACTCATTTTTGTGACTCCCGCGGAGTTTCCCCTATCCTTTTTTTTTTTTTTTCCTGCAAGGCTACCCGCTGGGAGCTAGGGGCGCTGGTATGAGCAGACACCTCTATCTCCCCCGGGGAGGCTCCATCTATTGGCGGGGAGCAACACCTGCTGGAAAACGGCTCCAGCGTTCCTTAACAGAAGCCATTGAGGTCCATCTGAAAATTCCATCATCTTCTGCCAGCATTGATTGCCCTGAGAACCGGGGATTAACTGAGTAGGAAGATAAGTAGCCAGAGAGGGGGGAAGAAGGGGCCTCTTCAGCCTTGCTGCTGGGCTCCCAAAATGCACGACGACCTAGCCCCCATCCACCTAGCAAATTAAACCACCAGTACTTGGGTGACGCCTTAGCGTTAACGCTACGCGATTTCCGCGGCCGGCGGGCCATCGATAAATCGAATCGACAGCCCGCGCTGCTTCGAGATTTGGGCGGCCGGCGCGGCGCGCAGTGCCCAAGTACTGGTGGTTTAAGCCTCTATAACTTAGTAACTATGTAGACTATGCACCCCCCCCCCACTCACTCTGATCCTTGCCACTAACTAGCTACCATTAAAAGACTACAGGGCGGGAAGGGGTGCAAATAGTATAATCACTTCTGAGGTTCTCATCACTCCATCAAACTGCCTTCACCCGCGTTGTCTTTGTCTGGAGTCCAACAGTCCACACTTGTCCTGTGTCCTTTCTCTTATTCTGCACCGTACCATTGCATGTCCACTAAAGACAGTTGATGGGGAGGGAACGGGTCCGAGAACTCTGAGGGTGAGCGCAACGGCACTCTATGGTCCACTTTAGTCCATTCCTTGAAGCAGACGCAGTAGTCCCAACTGAAGTCTTCCTGCTCCTGCCCTAAGGATTGTCCACCTTCCCATCTAATATAGGCAATCCAGCCCCCTTTTTCGTGACCCAGCCAGTCCCCTCAGAATTGATTAATTGCTTGTGTGATGTCTTTCTTTGACTGGTATGTCTGTAAATGATTCTTGACTTTCTGCCATCGTGAGAGGAGCTCTTGCTGTATATATTGTCTTATTATTTCTCTTACTTCCTCTCCATCCATGCGTACTCCTTCAATGGTGTATGTGCAGCGCTCCCTCCACAGTGCCCAAATAATCGCTCTCCTCCCTATCTTGAACATGTTGTTTTCAAAATCGTTGTCCGTGGGGGAGGTCCATGCTTCACAGAGCAGCGCCCTACAGTCCCACGGCCAAGCCGCTCCAGTGCCCAGGAGGCTCCATATCCGGTCCCACCAACGCCAAGTGAGGACCGCCTCTGGGCATTGTAGGAAAATGTGTTTTATAGTTTCCGGGCTCCTGCGTGAGGGGAAGGCGTCATGGCAGGATTTACACCAGGGGAGCGCCAGGCCCTTCTGTTCCAAGTACGTGCGATCTATCAACCAATTGTTTGTTGGGAGGCAGCGGTGCTCTATCTGCCACTGCAGCAAGGCGAATTTAGCCGGTTTGGACCTCATGGTTGAAAACCACCGGATAGGCCGGATGGTCTCCTGTCTTAAATTCAAGTGGGTAATCCAGCGGGCTTTCATAATCTCTTTAAGATTCACCTTTGTCCGCAGTAGCCGATAAGTGGCCTTCACTGACAAAGCAAAGAACTTAATGTTCGGGTTAGCTAGCGTTCTTCGTGCACGCGACCAATGTTACTCCTCCGGGTCGAAGGGGAGTTGAACTAGGGATGTTCCAGGGAGAAATGCGGTTCATTCATCATTATGGGCCTCGCTGCATTACTCTAGACTCTCGAATTTTCGAGAGTGGGTCATCGCTGCACTTACTCTCGATCGGGAAACTCTCGAAACCCGATCGAGAGCTGTCAGAAGCCACACTATCACGCAAGTCCCCCGCCTGCAACAACTGAATTTGCAAGTGTCCTCGGGAGTTGCACGCAGGCAGGCTCGTTTTTCGAGAGTGGATCACCGACGACCAGGCCACCCTACTTATAACATTTGGAAGCTTACTATTTCCTCTCCATAGCAGGGCGGTGATTTGCCTCTTGAGTGATCTAACCGCTTTTTTACTGAGGGCCCAAAGCACCGACGCATGCCAGAGGGTCGCTAGTACTACATTGTCGATTGTCAGTGTCCTACCTATCAAAGATGTATGTTTGTCATTCCAACATGTCAATTTCTCCGATGC